GCTGTTCAGCCACATCTTCCTATCCAGGAGCCCTCCCACAGTCATGTGACCACTTTGTTAGGCTGCATTGCACCCCCCATTGCTCCACAGCCTGTTAAAGACTGTTAAAGTGGCAGGCACCAAAGGTGCCCTGCCATACCACACCTCCCATGAGAGCACCTTCACCACCAGGCAATATAATATTCTGGAGGTGGTAATGGGATGGGGACCTTCTGTCTCTCCAGTTGACCCTGGGCTGCTGGGCAGCCAAAAATTCAAAAGTCCTAGGAGCAAAAGGAGTACAAGTTAAGGGCAAGCCTGACTCTGTGGCCAAGTACTTAAGGCACTCAGCTGGGAGTGGGGAGCTCCAGGGGTTTTTTCCCTCCTCTAGCAGCTTTTTCTGGTTTTATCCAGTGACTGTTTAATGTACAATGCATATAAAAGGCATGCACGGCTACCAATGGCTCCAGGAATATTTTACAAGGAAAACAGTAAACTCTGTTCAGTTCAATGAAAGAAAAGTTATAGGTCACTACACTCAAGAGAGGTCCTAACCACTTAAGCTCTGGAGAGCGTTGGGAGTTGAGACATATCCCAGGGCTTAGTGTTTCCTATTAACTTACTCTAGGCGGCTCCCTGTTCAGCATGTAGCTTTTTGGATTGGCTTTCTAAGGCACCTAACTCTTCCCAAACACTGTACGGGGAACATAAGCACTTGGGGCATACCCTATTCTTTCCCGGTCATCTAAATGGCCATTTTTTGGGCTTCTATGGCATTTACATGCCCAGAGGAGTTCTATTTCTGGCTGCTTAGCCTTGTGTGAATGGACAATTATATGAGTAGTCCTGCAGACTGAGTACATGCAGTAGGGAGTATAGCATACATGTATATCCCTTGTGGATGTATAGTGGACCTATAGGCCTGAAAATTGAGTCAGGCAAAATCCATGACTACTGGACTTAGTCTCAGGACAGGAAAAATACTGTTTGTGTGAGTGCACATTTTTGCACACATGTCATTCTTTTGCCCCATAGTTTAGTGGCTAGAGCACTCACCTGGGAAACTAGAGATTATGGTCATCTAAGTGTCACATAGACAGATTGGAATTCTATTCCTGGATGACTAACCCTGTGTGTGTGGATGACAACATATGCATCCAGACTGGGTGTATACACTGACAAGAATGAGAGAGAGGGAAATCATCTTTACCCCAAATAGCTCAGTGGCAATTGTGGCACTTAGATGACCATGTAGACAACCAAATCTAGACACTGAGGGTGACCTTCTGTCCTCTCCTAGTCACCTACATATGCAGAATGCAGTTACATGCATTTGTGTTCTATTTCTGAATGTATAGTCAACTATGTGCCCAGACTGGGCATATGCACAGGTTAGAGGGGAGGAAGGGAAAGAAAAAGGCTCTCATCTTTTTCCCCAGATAGTTTTACAGCAATAGCACTTACCTAGAAATCCACAATTGTACTCTCCCCACAAGGGGATTAAACCAGGAGCACTAACTCTCCAACACAGCACCTTAACACCTGTACCACAGGCCAGCCAGTACACCGCCATTTCTCTGACTTTTGAAGTTGATCCCCCAGGAAGCCATGAGAGAAAAGTCTCTAGAAGATATAGGATATAGGAAAGAAAGGCTGGAAGGAACCTCACAAGGTCATCAAGTCCAGTCCTCTGCTCAAGGCAGGATCATAGATGACTACACTATCCCAAACAAGTGTCTGAATAAACTGTTTTTTATTTGCAAGTAACACTCCTGTTAATATAACCCAGTAGGCTGGTGTTTTTTGGCATCAACAGTATGCTGTTGGCTCACATGCACCTTAGGGTCTACTGTACCCTCAGGTTTTTCTCTGCAGTACTACTGTCTAGCAGTCATTCCCCAGTCCCTATTTGTACATGCAATTATTCCATCCCAAGTGCAGGACTTTGCACTTGTCCTTATTCAATCTCATCTGTAGATCATTTTCCTAGTCTCTCCAGTTCATTCTGGATTCTAGCCCTACTCTCCAGAGTATCTGCAACTCCACCCAACTTGATGTCATCTGAAAATTTGGTAAGCAGGTACTCAGTTCCATTGTCCAAATCATTAATGAAAATATTGAACAATACTGGACACAAGACAGACTCCTGGGGAACCCCGCTTGATAGGTCCTTGCAACTAGATGTTGAGCCATTGAGGAATACTTGTTGGGTACATCTACTTGACTCCCTACGGCAACAGAGACACACTACATCGCCATACAGTGTACTACAGCAACATAGCCATCACATGGGTTGACACATGATCACTAGCTATGTCACCGCAGCAGCATGCTCCCCGCTTATAGCTCATCACTACAGTGTTATAGCAGGGAAATCTAAGCGTGTGCTGCCCATACGGGGCAGTATAGGTAGTTACTGCGCCATGCTTTAGTACTTCCAGAAGGAAGTACTAAAGCACAGTGCTGTAGCAATGTCACCATATGACAATGTGTAGACACACCTGTTGAGTACAATGATCCAATGACTTATGTATTCACATTATAGTACTTTTCATCTAGTCTGTACTGTTTTAGATTGTTAATGGGAATGTTATTAGAGACTGTGTCAAAAACCTTGTTAAAGTCAAGATATAACCCATCCACTTCTCTCTGCATTACTACAGAGCCTGTCACCTTATCATGAAAGGAAATCAGGTTGGTCAGGCAAGACTTGTTCTTGGTGAATCCATGCCAGCTGTTCCTGATCACCTTGCTCTTCTCTAGATGCTTCACAATAGATTCCTTGAATACTTGCTGCCTGCTCTTTCAACTTCTTGAGGTCAGGCTGACTGGTCAGTAGCTCCCTAAATCTTTCTTCTTCCCTTTCTTAAAGATGGGTACTATATTTGCCCTTTTCCAGTCATCCTAGACTTCACTCAACCTTCATGAGTTCTCAAAGAGGATAGCTAATGGCTCTGAAATTACCTCACCTTAAAGTGCATACCCTCCAGTCCTGCTTCTTTGAAAGCATCTAGCTTCTCTAAGTAATCCCTAACCTTTTCTTCCACTACTCTAGACTTTGTCTCTTTCCCTATCTTTGCTGCCAACTGCACTAATAATCTGGTAGCTGCCCCCATTTCTGAAGAGAGTGAAGTAAAAAAGGTATTAAATACTTCACTCTTCTCTGCATCATCCATAACTAGATTTCTTCCCACATTCCATAAGGGACCTGTGTTTTCTGACTACCTCTTACTTTTGACATATTTGCAGAATCCTCTTTTTTATTGCCTTTTATGTCCCTTGCCAGCTGCATCTGATATCGTGCCTCAGCCTTTATAATTTCTCCCTGCATGCCTGTGTGATACTCTTAAACTCTTTCCTCGTACTATAACCAAGCTTTAACTTTTCACTGGCTTTCTTTTTGAGTTTCAATTCATTAAAGAGATCACTATCTAGCAGTGGTGTTCTCCTGTTGCACTTTCCAGTCTTCTGTTACAGTGGGATAGCTTGCTCCTGTGCCCAAAAGGGTCTCCTTAAAGTAGAGCCAGCTCTCTTGGACTCCTTTTCCCCTCAGACTTGTCTTCCAGGGAGTCCTCCCCATCAGTTCCCTGAGATCTGTTAAAGTCTGCTTTTCTGAAGTCCTTGTTCTGCTTCTCTCCTTCCTTCCTCACCTTAGCACCTTATCATTTAGGACTCTTATCACTTAGGACTCTATCATTTCATGGTCACTGCCACCCAAGTTTCCTTCCATATTCACATTCTCAAGCAATTCCTCTCTGTTTATGAGCAAATCAAGAAGAACTTCCCCCTTGATGACCTCATTACTATCCATGTCAAAAAATTATCCCCAATACCCCAAGAATTTTCTAGACTGCTTGTGAACTGCTGTTTTTCTCCCAGCAGATGTCCCAGTAATTAAAGTTCCCTATAAGAATCAGGTGATTCAAAAGGCTAACAAAGGCCTCGTCCACCTCCTCCTCCTGGTTTGGAGACCTGTAGAAGATGCCCACCATAATATCTCCCCTGCTGCTCTCCCTGCTGATCTTTATCTAGAGTTTTTCAGCAGGCTTATGTTCCACTTCATGTTGCAGATGGGGACAGGAGGAAGGGAGCAAGCCAGAGGGTGTTCAGCACAATGAGGTGGGTACTAGCCTGGAAGAATAAGATGTCTAGCTGGGGCCCTTCCTTCCCAGTGAGGTAGAGGCTTCCTCCTGCACTGCATTCCATTCATTTTTTCCAGTGACTGTATGTTAATGGTTTAGCTTCAAAAGGGGTGCCAGAGAAGACTATGAGTAAAGCTTGAACTCTGGTGGGGAGGCTGGAGTGCTATACTGGTGAATCAGACACACCCAGGTCTGACACCCTTCGGACCAGGGTGGCTTAGAATGTAGGACATTTAGCCTCCCAGGTGAGTGTCTTAGCCACTGAGCTGTTCGGGTGAAAAAGGGACACACACACTGTGTAGCCCTTTATTAGTCTTAGCTTCAAGAACAGAACCCGTGGGTTTTAGCTGGCCCATTTGTGGGTGCTTGAGGCTGCCATGCATCCACAACGGGTGCATACAGGTGCCCTAGGTGCCCCTGTGCATGCCCAGTCTGTGTATCTGCACAGTTATCCATGCATGCACAGCTGTGAACCCAAGAATAGAATGCCAACCTATGTGCAAATGCTAATTTTGGCATTAGGTTGGCCAAAAATGCCATATAAATGACCAAATCTGGATGCTTAGCTGAACAGAAAGGGAACAAATGCCACCTTTTGTTTTCACTCTAGGTTAGAACGGCATCTTTTACAGTGTAAATGCCTAACGGTCAGATCTAATAAAGACTCCAGCCATTGTAGGGTACTGGCTAACAAAGGCCATTTCCTCAGTGATAACTACTGTTTCTACCTTGTTCCTTATCTGGAACCCTTTAAGAACCAAATTTTCAGTAGGATGACAAGGGGTGTGTGACCTCGGCACCAGCCCCAGGCACTGATTTTAAAAGGTTGCAAGAAGGGCATCTGCCACCACTGCTGCCTCCAGCCCAGCTACCGCCACTGCCACTACCCCAGCCACTACTGCCACCCAGGGTATTGAATTTATTTGTCACACTTCTGCAAACTTGGAAAAGCTTTATAGTTTGTTTTCAGTGCAAGTCACTGAAATACAGGACTGTTGCAAGATGCATATAGAGAATGCAGGGATGATGATGAATCAATTTTTTGTTTTAAACAACGCTTTTAGCCATTATGCAATCATTTTCCATTATGTTTAGTTGATTGTTTTTAATTAACTTCTTAATCCTGCTATAGGGCTATACAATGGATGCAGATGATTTCAGGTTTTTCAAGGTGAAATATTCATATCCATAACAGGGAAGCCAATCTTTTCTCTTGCAAACGAAATACTGTGACTTCATATATGTGCAAGACAGCAAACATGCATGTAAGTAACTATTTTCTTAGGATCTGTTCTTGTTAACAGTTACATGTCCATGGAGACACTTAGAGGCTGTTTTTTTTTCTAGTCATAGATTTGTTTACAGTCCTGATATCATGAAAGCTAATTTGACAACAAATCATATATTGCATAATATTTCATAAATGTGTTGGAATATTGCAAGGGATTAGATCCAAGTTGGAAAATGTTCCCAATTGCAGACTAGCTCTTCTTCAAATACTGGTTATCCAGAGCTACATTATTCTTGGATGTCTGGTCCTTTTTAATTATGTCACAGTCAGGTACCAACACACAATAGTATCTGGTTCCTAGGACCCAATCACATGGAACACACACACACACAAAACCCCCCTTAATATCCTTTTTATTCAGTCTCAGACAGTGAAAGAAAATGGAGATTAAAGTGGCTAAGAAGAGGCACCCTATGGAGATGGGAGATGAAGAGAAGGAGTGGAAAGAGTAAAGGTTTGAACAAGAAAAAGTAGCAATTTAAACTGCACACAGTCCTGCACAGTCCTGAAGTCCCAAGATGCTTTTTTAATAGCAGCATGTGGCCCTTTCAGCTATTTTTAACATACTTCCTTGTGTAAAAACTAAACTAGGGGCTGCTCAATAGTCTTCTTTACTTTTTTATGAAAAAAATAAGCTGCAACTGCCTGTTAGTCCATAAACAAGCACCAACAACTAGGTTTTGGAGGGCAGTAAGAAAGTAAAATTTGTCTAGAGATCTTTAAAAAGAAAGAGTGAGGATTAAGAGAAAAAAACAGGTATTATGCATCAAAGCACATCCTAGTAAGTTGACAAGGATTAATATTTTGTGTTTCGCCTGGTAAGTATAACTGGAAGACAGTAATGAAAGAAGGACCAGAAGGAACCATAAGATGGGTGATGAAGGGAAGAAGCAGAGATATGTTTAACCTGTCTTTGGATCTCACCTGGACTGTTTCAACAGTGGTGTTAGCTGACCCAGTAATGGAAAATGGGTTTTCAGTGGTGCATCCACATCCACTAGCCCAACAAGTTACTATGACAGCTTCTGTAGCGTATAGCACTCAAAAGAGTGATGTGTCTAGCATTATATTTGCATGCCTTTGACTGTCCCGCCAAAGTGAGCCAAAACTGTTTTACATCTGGGGACAGCTTTTACGCAGAAGTCCAGAACAAGGTTTAAATGCATGACTACAGCTGTAGCAAGATGCCTTACCTACTCTGTCTCTACATCCCAACAATATATGATTTTATTGACCAAGAAATATCATAGAGCAGCCCTACAGTGGCAATCAGACTAAACTAGTGAAACATACCCTTAAATAATGGGTAGAGTACATATAATACATAGTGGTAAATGATCAGTACTAGAACTGAAAAATAAACATTCAATTTAGGCTGTTATATGTTGGATTCTAGGGGGCATAATTTATTCCAGTATCGCATGAAATATATCCTTAATAGGGTCAAATTGTGTTTGACTGGATTTGCAAACCACTTCTCATGCATGTAAAAAACTAAGCAGTGTATGTAGATTGCCATGAATAAGATGCACCTCTCTTTAATGTAAGGACAGTTTATTTTGCCTGTTGTGCACTGTAGTGTGTCGCAATATCCAAATCTGGCAGTCATCAATATACGGATAAACATGACCAAGTTGGTGTCTGGGAGGACAGGGTACAGTTTCCTCCCCGCCTTGGGTGGAAGAAGATATTTTGCACAGCTGGAATGACGTGCATTTGTGGTAACAGTGAAAGAGTTCAGAGGGACCCAAGAGTTTTAAGATTTTAACACATCCTGAAGGTCAGGCATCACTTAAGTGCCTCTGTTTGCCAGAAGAAAGTACATCATTGAAAAAAAAAACAACCTATATTTTTTAATGAAAAAAAATCTGTTTAACACCAAATTACTGTTGGATGTCAGAAACTCGAACAGCATCTGCCACTGCAGCTGCACTTTCTGAGAGAGGGGAGTAGAAAAAAAGCAAAGAGAACAGCAAAAAGGGAGGGTCAGAATGGTTTATTGCTTTGTAGATTTTCTCTCTGATATCTGCTCCATCTGCCCTCTTACCCCCTACTGAGCCCACCCTAATCAAAACCAAGGGCATATTTGACAGAGGATCATCATTAGCATGCAGCCTGTTTTATACAGCCAGCAGTGCTGTTAAATTCACTAACCAGATAGCAATGTTTGGTGATTCACAGAGAAATAAGAAAACAATACAAAACAAACAACCCCCCCACTCTATTGTTAGTAAGAAAGAAAGAGACTGTAATCTTTCTCCTCTTCCTCAATAACAAGATTGATGCTTGAGTCAGACCCATTCTTACTCTCCATCTCTGACTCACTATCAGACTTCCCTGTTATTTTTTCCAATAAAGAATTGGATGACTTGTCTGAGACTTGACTGCTGGGAGACGAGCTTTTTGTTATGCAGGAACATAGGTTTTGCCCTATAGATTGAGAGCAGTCCTCCACATAGCCAAGTATGCTGCCTGTACCTGTAGTCAATCAATACTGTATGTTTTAGAAGAAGATATGAAAACTACAGCCAATCAATGATTTCTCATCCAAACACATTTTGGGAGGTGAAATATGGACATTTGATCAGAATGTTTTCTATATTTTCATTGAAATAAGACATTCTTACCAAAAATATTGGGGTATGGTATGAAGGGACAGTTGGAAAAAGAAAAAGGGTAGGGGGAGGAATTTGGAAAAAAAATTAAAATGTCTGATAGAAAATAAGTGGCAGTTTTAGAACAGCTGTAACCAAAGCCCAAAATATAGCTAGATATAGTTAGTATCCATCACCATAGTCTTTAGTCCCTGCACCCAAAATTAAAATAAAAAATATATTTATGAATAAAAGAACTGTAACTCTCCATTCCATGCTTGTCAGACAGTAATCTTAAAAAGGTAACACATCATCAACATTAAATTCGTTTTGGGGGTTTGCACAACCTGTGCTGTGAAGTACATGGTTTTATTTTCTAAATTCAAATACTGGTAATAAACATAAACCTTTCTGGGACTTTCTGAAGTCTGGCTTCTGGATGACAAGGCTGGGTTTTCTACAGGCTGGGACACGTTCATCCCACCTGCCATCTTTCAGAGGTTGTGCTGGGAGTGGCAAGCTTTGCCCTCAGCTGGTGGCTCCATATCAACCCCACAAGGAATGGTGACTAGGAAAAAACCTTTTTAGGTAGGGGTCCCCTTACCTAGGAAGTCTACAGCAGTGAATCGACTACCAAACCCCTTTCCTGAGTGGAGCTTCTCTATCTAGATCTTCATTTGGGGTACCCCTCTTTGGCCCAATAAATGTAAACTATAAGTTAAATTTCCACCTATATGTTCTGAACACAATGTCCTTTATTATCACTGTGTGCCTTCAGTTTTGTTGGATCATCAGCATTTCATTTTGTAATAACTCCATTGGTACAGGAGGAGAATCAGGCAGATGGGACAGCATGCCCCAGGCAGTGGTATTGCCAGTCAGCTGTTGGGATGCTTTTCCTCATCACTGAAAATACACTGCCAGAAAACCATCCCTGAGCTGGTATTCTTTGACTTTAATGGGATTTTCCTTCAGGTCCTTATAACACAGCTGCCCTGGAAAAAAGAAGGGCCTGTTGATTAAACACTGGACTTAGGCTCATTTTTAATACAGCGCCATAAAGTGTTTACTTTGCATTTGAGATCCAAAAACACGCAAGGCTTCCTGTAGGCCATATGTGCCCTGAATTCATTACTGAATTTTCTTCTTTTATAACATCTGAGCTTTGCATATGAGCTTCAGTTTGGACTGTGAATCAAAAGCCTTCACCTTCTGTTCTCCTCTTGGCTGCTTGGGGAGATGAGAGGAAAGTAACATTCAGATGAATGAAATCTTGCTGGCTTCTGGGGTGTTCAGAGGAAGGAGAGGCATTTAAGGTCCCACTATGAATTTGGCTTCCCCACTCTCTTCTTTAATTTTGATAGTGAACGTCATCACAGTTCCTCTCCAATTGCATATGTGAATGTGGAAATCAAAGTTGAGGAATCAGAGAGTTATGCTTTACGAATATTTATAAACCTTAACTAAAAAATATACCAGTGGCCTATGTATGCACTCTGTTGTATAACAGGGAGATAGGCAATAACAGGGATTTTCCTTCCATGTCTTTCTGCACCCTCTCAAAATAGCAGGGAGTATGATTTACTGAACGGGGTTTTAAAAGGAAGCTACTGCGCCACACAGGGAGTTTATGACAATACTCCCTTCTGAAAGTGAAAACCCACACTTGGATTTAGGGGCCAGGGAGATATAATTTGAAAGGTGGCAGAGTCTCAAATCACATTTCCTGTCCCATGGCTGTATCTTCCAGTAGACTTGAGGTCACACCACTCTGTCTTACCTCTGCATCAAGGCTTCTCTTTCATCTTTGGGGCCAAGTTGCGTCAGGAACTTTCTAGGAACCCAATCCAGGTCTGGCCTTTTGAAGATTTCCGAAAGAAAAGCTTTCACTTTATCTATATCCCTTAAATTACCAAGACATTTTTCATCAGAAAAAATATAGAAATAAAAAGTCAAGGACAAACCCGTTTATTGCTGTTAGACTTCCAGTGGGGCAGGGAAACTCCATTTCTAACATGAATCTCAGGCTCACCCCTCTCTGCTGCTTCCACTGGTATCTATCTGGCTTATTGCAAAAGCCCTGCATTGTCTTTAAAATGTTGAGGGGAAAAAAAAAATCTAACCTTCTGTTTACCATGAATGCACTTTGTGTAAATCTCATCTCCATCCTGTTCACTCTTGCTGCTGCCTTGACTTCCTTTAGTTTTTCTTTAGCTCTGAACAGTCCCATTCATATTGCCTTTTCTCAATGGCTATGTGAAATACAAACTGACTTTGTTCTCTGAACGTCTTTTTGTCCTAGTAGAAGTAATTTTAAAAAAGGGTTCAGTATGTTTTGTTTGCCACTTACTAAGCTTGCAATAAGTTCTTTGTGCGTATT